GTAGACTGTGATTAGAATCTTTGATAATTGCATTAAACAATTTCTTGCAGCCGTTTTGATGGTGAGTGGAAAGATGTTCAATTCCACTGAGATTTAAAGCTTCCTCATATTTCAAATGGGGATAAATAATTCGGCGTTTAAACTAGCTATGCATGAAATATCCTGAATACTTCGTCCAGTTCTCTACCGCCATGTGACTTGTAGTTTAATGTTGCACGCGTCTTTGAAAGGCTTTACTTGGCTTTAATCGACGTGTATGGTATAACTTAGGTAAGCCAACATTATTTTGTAATGCAAGCTACATTTTCATATCTTTAATGTGTGAATATTTTTAATTTTGTAAAAAATTAAGCGCAATATGTTGTTGGAGAAAGTATCAAGTGAGTAGTAATACCCTCCACCCATATGGCGGAATTTATAATGAGCTTGCAAAATCTATGACGTCACTTTGTTCAGCTAACACTCTGGCGGTATTTATATGGCGGAATTTATAATAAGCTTGCAAAATCTATGACGTCACTTTGTTCAGCTAACACTCTGGCGGAATTTATAATGAGCTTGCAAAATCTATCTGGCGGAATTTATAATGAGCTTCCAAAATCTATGATGTCACTTTGTTCAGCTAACACTCTGGCGGAATTTATAACCAGCTTGCAAAATCTATAACGCCAGGTAGGCCACCAGTTAAGGTTACAGAACACCTTTGAGTGTTAATTTTACCTAAAATGTTTTTATTGGTTTGCATGAAAGCATTAGACTAGTTCTACTATCTGACAAAGTTTGGACGAAAAATGTTGAAAACTCGCAGAGTTATTTAATAAAATACATTTCGCTTGCAATAAGAAAAACATTAAAAATGTAATATTCAAATTCAATTTTCTTGCGAAGAATTTTACGGCAATTACTGATTTTTAAACGAGTTGTGCTCCTGCGGGTTTTATCGAATTTTTCTCAAATTTTCACAGGACATAGCTAAAGACGTCAGTTTCAAAATTGTGTTCGGCTTTGTTCTAATTTTGGATATTTTAATAATAAGGAGCAATTCACACGAACGATTCAGAAATATATTGCAGTCGTCAAAGAAATCGCCATATCAGCGGAATGTCGAAATAAACAAAAATTTCCGAACACAATTTTTTAGAACAACTATTTTACTGTATAAAACTGATATTTTCATAAATATATCTTAAAACCAACAGGAACGTAACTCAAAAGCGTAAAGATACCGCGAATTAATATTATTATTGTTTGTCAATTTTACAACTTTATCATATTTTGCATGCACTGGCTAACATTTGGTGAAAATTTGATGAAAATCGGACTGATTTTGAGCGCGTAGTAGCGATTTTCCACAAAACGCCAAAAAGGGTGTCCTGTAACCTTAACGTGGGCAGGCCTGGGCCAAATGTGGCAGGCAACGCGGTCATTTAGCATCACAACTAGTTTCTGAAATAGAGGGATTAATGTCGATTTACTATGATTTGAGAAGATCAAGCAACAAGCGAGTGGATTTCCAAAAGATTGCAATACCGCAGAGAAGCGTCAGCAATATATTGATGAGTATTTTGACAAGGAAGGAATCAGGCTTTAACCTGATAAAATAGAAAAGAATCCTGGATTACGTGCGCTTGCAAAATTGATGTTAAATTCATTTGGGGGTAAGTTGAAGAATCGTATATACAAGCAGTTCGTATGCGTGGGAGCTATAAACTGTCCATTTTTTTATGTAATATGATAAAATATTTAATCCCTTAATTCTTTCATAGGTAAGTTTGCGCAGAAACCTAACATGGCAAATGTGAAGCTCATCTCTGATCCAAGAGAGTATTTTGACATGCTAACATCGGATGAAATCGAAGTTACTGACGTCTCTTTTGTAAGTGATGATGTTATTGAAGTACGGTATGAAAATACTGAAAATTTTATTGACACAAACTCAAAGACTAATGTGGTTATAGCAGCATTTGCGACGGCACATGCCCGCCTGAAATTATACAGTGTTTTAGAGCGATTGGAGCAACGCGTGTTGTATTATGAGACTGATTCTGTTATTTTCACAAGCAAACCTGGAGAATGGAATCCTGAGACAGGAGAATTTCTCGGGCAACTTACAGATGAACTTAAAGGTAAATACATAACCACGTTTGCATCAGGTGGACCAAAAAACTATGCTTACGAGACCAATACTGAAGAGACGTGTTGCAAAATACGGGGGATTACATTGAACTTTAGAGCTTTAAAATCGCTAAACTTTAACACTGTTTGTGACACAGTTTATCTTAGTCTTCTGTGTGACACAGGATATCCAATTTCTGTAGATATACCGTATAAAATCAATCGAAATACCAGTATGTAACAAAACAAATTATTACAAAACGTCAGAATAAACAGTACAGAATAGTGTATAATAAGCGTGTGATTTGTGATAATTATTTTAACACAATCCCTTATTAATTTTAGCTAATTCCCCGAGCCGACGGCGCGAAGCGCCGTGCGAGGGTACTAATTCCCCCCGGCTATTTACACCCGGGGAAACGAAAGCATTAGCGGAGTCTAAAGTTCATCAAATATCGCGGGCGTGGGTGACCAACGATGGGTGGTCATCCTCACTGATCTCAAAAATATGGCGGACTGTCATGAATAGCGGACACTGATTGGTCCAATTTAAATTTTGCATTATAACGACTGGCACGACTGCATCACGACAGCGAAATAGCAAACATTTCTTGATTTGGTGATTGATAAATTTCTTGCAAATATATTTCATTTTTACTCGCATTTTTGCAAGATTTTGTAAATTTCAAAAGCTCTCTCAAAATGAAACTGCGAAAGAATCGGCTAAAAGAAGGGAGCCGACGTTAACGAAGGTAAGTTTGTTTTAAATATTGATTTTATAATGGCTTTAAAACCCGACGGCCTTTGCGTATATGAAACAACTAAACAAACAGCATATAATTTTAGTGTATCTTTAATTAATATTGTCTATTGATTCCCTTTTTTAATATGATATTGAATTTCTAAATAAAAAAGAAAGCACTGAGTTATTTGCAAGCGAGAATTTGAAATCATTTTATTGCAAACTCAAAGTTTATCGATAAAGCCATTTTAAAAGGCAGTTTAGTTTTATAAAGAAAACTAGTGACTTTAAAACGTGTTGCGAAGCGTTTGTGGTTGAATTTTGCCTTAAATTGAGGCTTATATTACGTATAATAACATACCTAACATATATTTATGTTGGGAAATTAATAATTTTGTAATTAAAAGTGATATTTTTAGGCGATTTTTCATTTGTAAGAATATTCTTGAAGAATTATCGTGTTACCATGACAACTACTTTGGAACTTCATGTTCGGAAAATACAATGGTTTTGTCAGCAAGGCGAGGGTTTCTGCATGCATGTATTTTCTAGTATATTAAAGGTGATCTACAGTCCGTATGTAAACAAAGCCTTTGTTTACATTTTTGCCTCCAAAATATTGAGCTTTATTCGACAACTATTTATATTTTCAAGCTTCTAGAGTATAATAAATGATCAAGAAACAACAATCAGGCTTTGCAAGAACCCAAAACATAGTTAAACTGTTTGTATCATAAAAAGTGGGCTCCTTTGTGCACATGCGCAGATCGGACTATAGATCACCTTTAAGTGTTATAGTTTCAATTTCAAGTTTATCGCATTTCTTGTCTGGAACATCCAGTCAGTATAGTTTCATTTCAATCAGTTTATTATATTTCTTCTCATGCATATCTTGCCTCACAAACCAAGACTTTCAATAATCTTGTCAGCATTTTCTTGGCTGCTCTCCTCTACAAAGTTGTGGTAGGATTCAAAATGATTGTCTTTGAAGTACTTTTCCATTTTCTTAAAATATTCAAATTGTTCCTTTTTTCGTTTGCGTTATTTTCTGTTTTTCGAATGCACTGTTCTTGTCTACTGACTCTCCATTTTGACTGTATGTGATAAAGTTGAAATTGTGTCTTCCTTATATAAAGAAAAAATACTGTCATTAGAATCGCTAATTTGATGTTGTGCTGGTTATTATGTGACGGTTCAACTTTAATCATTGTATTCGATTGTTTACTGCATTTTAATTAAGTTAATTAAGTGAGGTAATTATAGCAGAATGAAATAATAGTTGCTGCAATTTTTCGTAAGCGGTGAAAACTTCAAAGTAAGCGATTCTGATTCGTAATCTGTCTCTTTGTATAATTATCTGTAAATAGTGAACATTGTGCGTGTGAATTAAATATAAGTAAACTATTATTAATAATTTCAAACATCAAAATGATATCAATAAAAGTGTGTATTTCATTCAGTTGATATGGCATGTGTCTATATTTTCATGAATCTATCTTACCTGCTAATTTGGTGGATACTATTGATCAACAAAACATGTAACTTATTTATGACAATGATTTTTAATAAATTCACTCGGCGTACATGAGCTGCATCAAAATATAGCCTAGTCTGAAATAATTTGCTTGAGGGGATGGGGTTGGACATCAGAGTTTCGGGCCACAAGGCCACAAAAAAGGCCCTGCGGGCCGTTTTTGCGCACCGAAACAAATATGAAACAAGACCAATAAGGAATATAATCATTTACTGGTATGCCTCGAAAGCGAAAGGACTTTTCGCTTTGCGATAAGCAGGCTTTAAAAAGATTAGCGAATCATTTGGCAGACGTGCATGAACTCTCCCCCGAACAAAGACAACCATACATCATTCGTGCTAGAGCTACGCCAATGGATTTAGAGACAGTTCTGAACAATTTGCATAAATTGATTGCCAGCACTAAAAAGCCGACAATTTGGTATAAATAGCTCGGAAAATTATTTCTGTTTTCATTTCCAACATGTATTCCATACAATTAACACCCGTTTGGGCTGATCGTTTCTGGCGGTACAAAATCAGGCAAAACTACGTTTGTCAAAAAATTTTAAGTTATGCTAATGTTATGATTGATAAGCCTCCAGAAAACATTGTTTACTTCTATACCGAATATCAAGACACGTTTGGAGAAATACAAAATTTAGTGCCTGGTATAAAATTCATACAAGGCTTGCCTGATGATATAGTGGACAGTATAAATCCAGAAACATACAATTTGTTTATCATTGACGATATGATGGGTGAAAAGGACGGAGTTATTTCAAAGTTATTTACGAAAAAATCACATCATGGCAATCTCAGTGTAGCGTACATTGTACAAAATTTGTTTCATCAAAGCAAAGAGCATCGTACAATTTCCTTAAATGCAAGTTACTTATGCCTAACAAAAATGTCCGCGACGCGAGTCAAATTGTTCATCTTGGCAAACAGTTATATCCTAACAACACAAAATTATTTCAACAAGCTTACCAAATGGCAACTAAAGAACCGTATTCGTATTTATTTGTTTACCTGACACCAACATGTCCTGACGAGATAAGAGTTCGATCAGGGATCTTTCCAACAGATACGCATTACGTTTATCAGCCAAGAGTATAAGATACTCGTTACTCGTGCAAATTATTCATTTGACAATGTCAGCTTACATGAAGAGGAACTCTGAACTTCTCAAAGTATTGGCCAAGTGCAAACCGGAACTGAGAAAAGCGATCGTAAAAGCGGCTGAGGACTACAGTGCCTATTACACGTTTGGTTTGACACAATTAAACTCAAGCCAAAAACAGCTAAAAAACTTGCTCCACATTCCAAACATATAAAGTTTGCAGCTGACCCACGGAATTCTATCGAGCACAGACGCAGACGTCTTGTCCAAAAGGGGGAAGGTTTTCTACTGTTCCTACTGACTTCAGTATTGGAGAAATTGGCAAACATTTTATAATGGAACACGTCAAGCGATTAGTACTTGTGCCTGAACATATGGTTGAACACCGAAAGAAACCTCTCGCGGCACCTTTGGCGACACAGGTCAACGAAATAGACTCGGACATGCACGATATTATTCGACGACAAGATATACCAATCGATGAAAAGGCAAAGTTATATGACCAGAATCTGCAACGCTATTTAACCTTTTATGATAAACGAATGAATAAACCTCTCCAAGTAAACGTGACGCACAGCGATCAAGCTGAAGAATCTCAAGGAGAACAGCCCAGTGAAGAGGCGGAACCCTCAAACGAGATTGAAACAGATATCATGGACAGTGTACCAGCCACTATGAAGTCAAGAGCGCGACAACTCATCAAAAAACTCAAGTCAAATAAGGATCTTATCGGTTGGAATGAACAAGGCCAGATGGTGTTCAAAGGAAGATCGGTTCCTAGCACAAATATAGTTGATTTGGTGAATGATTCTCTACGTCTAAGGAAGAATTTTAATCCCGACGGTTGGGAATTGTTTTCAAAAGTTCTTGGACATTTGAATGTACCCGAAGGAATCGTGAGAAACGAAAACCGTCTTGGAATTGTTCGCGAATATAAAACAAAAGGTATCCCGGAAAATTTACCCACCACCCCTCGAGTGCAAGAAAAGAGGAAAAAACGCAGAGACAATATTAGTAGCCCATATAAATGGTTAAAATAATTTATTTCTTGTAAGAGAGAATTTTACAATAAAATGTATTTTAAACTAGAACTAGTGTTTTCTATTTGTACCACTTGTCCATAAAGTCACGCACAAGCTCGTCATTCCTTTCTTTGCTATTAGTAAACATATTAGCAATGGTTGACATTGGAATACGCCTACACCGATGTAAAGCAAAGAACAATGTATATTGCCCACATACGTCCGATAAAGGGTCTTGGAAAATTCTTCTGTTCCACCCAAATGTACGACAGTGCTTGTTGAGAAACTGAGAAAAGTTTTCGGTTTAAAATCCAGGCGCTTTGCCATAGGAATCCCAAAATTCCCCTTTCCCATCTTCTGTAAGATACACAGCCACCCAATGCTTCCCAGGCCCTTCGGAAGAATCTGTGTTAGGTATATACCCTCTTGGTCTCTTTCGTATTTCGTGAGGTAAACGATCTGACGGTAAAACGTCCGTAAACACCGTCTTTGTAAATGAATCACTCTTGAGAATGTTCATAATCTGCAGCAAGTTCATATTCAGTTGTTGAAATCACAGAACACGGAACGTGTTTGCATCAATTTCGATAAGACTTTGAAATTCGCGAAGCACAACGATATTTATAGCCGTCTCCAACGGTGTTCCAAATTGACATTCGATTGACACATTTCCATTTCTAATCGGTTGTACATGATCACCAAGGCATAAGTCTGGCGTGAGGTCAAATACAAACAGCGTATAACCGTTTGCATATTCTTCACGAGTTATACCATTGCCCTGATTTTCAAACATCTTATGTGTACCCGCGTACAGGGTTTGAAAAGCAGAAATGTAGTCACTTTCTGCTCCAAAATTCAATTGGAGCGGTTTTCCAGGTCAGTTCTCTCCGTTGACAGTGAGACCCATGATAGTAATATCGTAATTTTTAAAATTGAATGGATTCTTCGTATAGGTACCGTTAAAGGCGTCTGCGTCGACCATTCCAATCACAATACGATTTGGTAAAGCACCTTGAAATATATTAGATTGGTTTCCAGACATATTTCCTCTTGGCACTGAAACAACTTTACAGTCGATACGGTTGATTGGGTATTTGGCTGTAATGTGTTGTAGACTCTGACTATGACTCATCATGACACTAGGTGATACGTTCACTCGCCGTACACGAAACATACATTCTTCAATAACCACTTTGAAAGTTGGGTTTTCAGCAGATGAAACGATGCAAAAAGGATTTCTTGATCTCACAAGCTTTATTTTGATTGGCACGGCACCAAGGATATAACGGTCTTGAGCGAATAGATCAGAATGAATTCTTCCTTCCATGACCACAGATCTGCTTGCCCGTGTATGTGCATGGCGTTTTTTCAAACCCGTGTTGGCGTCTGCGTCCTGTGCGAGAAGTTTGACTGCATCCATTTTTCCAGCTTTATCTTTATAGAATAAAGCTGATGTCAATCAAATGGGAATCCTTCGCATCTTTACTAAAGTTGAGAACAGTTTCGATATAAGCTCTGTAAGGATAGGCTGTGCTTGATGGTGTGATCAGCTTGTTGTTCAGGAACACCTCTACTTGTGAAAATAATGCATGCATCCAAAGATTCACAGGCGCTACCTGAATGCCCGCACCCACATTTCCTCCGGCTGCGGTAGTAATCTTTGCTTTAACGTGTAGAAAACTGCTTGCTAAGTCAGTGTAAACGCCAGAATTTGCGGCACATAGAAATTCAATAGTATCTGAGGAAGTAATACTTGTAATGGGGTCAACGTCCTCCCAAAATCCTTTTTCCATTTCAACTTGAGTCGGTGGAACAAAAAACAGGTCAAGTTCAGACTTTGAACACATACAAGAATCTTTATGCATAGTTTCAACGACTTGAGCCATTCCACTTAGGATTATATTTGTCAATCTTGTGAATTGTTTCCGCTTCTTAGCTTGAGAAGAAATGGTTGGTTTTTCTGGTGCAGATCTTTTTATAGGTCTCTTACGCCCACGACCAGTCAACGTTTTGACTGCTTTATTAGGAACATCCGTGAATGCCTGATTTCCACAAGCTTTCACTGATTCTGAAACATTTCTCCCTTCGAGTACGTCCTGGCCCACTTTCGTTGCTGCTTGCAATGCTCTCTTACCAACTGTTCTAGCGCCTTGTTTGAAAAGAGGTATAGCAAATCTTGCAAGGCTTCTAAAGATACCTCCAATACCATATCCTCTTTGCGTTCTTGCCCCGCGAAATCCAGGTAGGCTGCCGCCCCGTTGATTTCTTGTGTAATGCTCTGTAAGCAGTTTTACGTCTGGTATAAGTAAGCCTTTCATATTAAACAAAGTACTGAGATATCTTCTGTCTAAAGTGAAGTGTTGACTTTCCAGAGGCAAATGAGACACTTTCGTCTCTGTCGTTCTTTATATGGATTTCGATACTCTCAAAGGAATTGACTTTCACTGGGACGTATTGCAAATTGCGAAAACTCGCGTGAATATTTTTACCATATTCCCCTTCTATGTTGACGATCATTAATAGCTGAACTTTGACATCGCCTACAAACTGAACATCAACGATATCGCTGCAGACATACATGGAGGAAAACCCACCATTGATATCTGCAACATACGGACTCAAGGTTTTCTTTTCAATAAGAGTGCACGTGTCCTGGTCAAATCCCAAAATTGTTGCTATGTCACTGGTAACCCAAACAGTTGTGCCGTGTTTTACATCAACCAAAAATTTGCAAGAACTGCGAATATAACTAAATTTCACTTTCGTTTGTTCTTCTTTTGACATGCTGGCATTTAGTTCTTTTGTTAGTTTATCAATAGAAGAATAATGTGTGTCTTTAAGCACGACAGTTTGATAAGGGCTGCTGCCATTTTTATACAGAAACGTTTGTTGTACTCCTTTTCGAATCGTACTCCACGTGTACGGAAAATGCAGTCCGATCAATGCAACTTCCCACTGTCCTGGCAGAACGATTGCTTCGGTAATTACACTCTGAAATTTGCCACGGTATTATTTGGGAAATATTGTATGGAACTATTACTCGACAACGTCAAATAAAACTGTGTTGCCATGTTGAAGATCAGAACATAAATGAACACAAGTCATAGGATTCAAATCAATTTATTTATTTATTAATGTCTTTTACATTCTCTTCCGGCACCCAGGAATTAATTTTTTTTAGGGTAACCAAGCCATTTTACAAAATATTCTTTACGTTTATTACGCATGTGTGATCTAATTACTTTTTCTACTCGATAAAAGTCATCTTGAGTTTTAGTCACTTTCTGAAGTTCCTCTTCATAAAAGACTCCTTCCACTTCATCCGAATCATGGTCAACAATGTCACACGGGAGGACGTCGTGGCACTCCCTTCGTTACAGTGAACACTTCTTCGGTCCAATTGGGTAGGTAACCTTTCTTGAACGTACGCCGTGCTTTACTTATCCGAACTTGATCACCAATGTTAAATTTATAGTAGATGGACTTGTGAGGTTCTTCTCCATGCAGTTTCTGACACACAAAACCTTCGTTATCTTTATTCACGTCAGCTGGTTTCATTCCTATGCTACGGTGTCTGGAATGGTTGTATGATTTGACCAACTTCTGAATTATGTCAATGTACTTTACTGTGTTTTTAGCCGTAAAATATTTCCACATCTTTCCTTTCAGTGTACGATTAAACCTTTTCACAATTGAGGTCTTGGTTTCGTTATGGGTCGTGAAGAATCGAATATTATTTTCCTTTAAAAACTTTTGGAACATTCTATTCGTAAACTCTGTGCCTTTGTCTGTGTATAGTTTCTCAGATTTTCTCCCCTTCTTAATTAGTTTTCGAAACGCCAGAACGAGGCTCTCGCCCGTTTTCGTCTTAATTGGTTCAACCCATGCGTACTTGCCCAGGACATCGATAACGGTCAAAAGGTACTTGTAACCATTATTTTGTTTACTTAGCGAGTCCATAATAACGAGATCAGCCTCCCACTGTTCATCAAAGCCACCCACTAGAACCCTATTGCGTTTAAAATGGAACCTTACGGGTTTGTGTTATGCGTACGTGTCTTGCTTTTTTAACCATGACCGTATTCTATTCCGCGATATTTGATGTTTTCCTTCCTCTTTTACAACACGGTAAATTGAATCTACGCCTCCAAAACTTGCAGGATGTTCTGGATTGTAGTACAGTTGGCTTAGATATTTTTCTGCCATCAATGTCATAGGCTTGGATCACAATACTCCCTCCAGAACAAGCGGAAATACAGCGGATCCTCCGAAATATATTACGGAGAGCTATTTGTGGAAAACCCTCACAACAACAAGTCATGCCTACGCCTCAACGGTCAGTATCAAATGAACAACGCATGGTAATTTGGACGATACTTAAATGACATAAAGGACCGCTAGTGTAAATGACATCATTACAAAAACGCTTCGAAAAGATTTTTTACTGCGTTTAAATTTTTCCAAGTTAAATGTTTTGATAACTTCAACTGATAGTCTTGCTGCCTAACGAATAGTTTCTTCATTCAAGGAATCACTAGCTCTGTATACTAGTGCTGAATAAGCAATAAATCGTCCAAAATTTGTTACCTTTATTTCTTTATAAAACCGACTAAGGTTTACCGTTAAAGATTGGACTCTTGCTGCTTCGTATAGTACATGATTCTTATTAAGGATAGCATTAATATGATAGGATAAAGTCTCTTTGTCAATATCTACGTTATTTTGCTTTAACTCGTCACAAATGATATCCATACTGAACACCGCCGCAAGTACTAGCAAATGACTACACAAAGTGAATAACATCGAATTTATCAAATGATATTTGTTGAAAAATTAGCATTACATCATAAAAACATGGAAAAGCAAGTTAGAAAATTCGGGTAAAATACTTAAATAATATTACAACTTCATATTTTCAAAAGTGTTTGTTAAATTGTCTTTGGATTTGTTTTCCAAATGTTCTTTAAAAGCTTTCATTCTGTCCCCACAACGACTCGTAAATCTCTCTCCTGTCCGTTTAATGGTATTATACGAGGGTGGCATGCTAAAGTTCACTTCGAAACATGGACAGATTGGAATGTCTTCTTCACTGGGAGTCCATTCAGAATAACTGAATGAGTTATCCTTTCCATTTGGACAGCAGAAAAACGTACGATCTTTATTAAGTCCTTCTTTTTTCACTTTCCGCATACAGCACGGAAAACCATGACGGCAGTTTGGTCTAACTGTCTCGGCGACATCGCCCCATTGCCAGAAAGAACAAGGATTTTCACGGTGAGAACAGACGAAAAATGGTCTTCCATAGTCTTCTTTCATTGGATCTTTAACTATTCGCATTCTTGCAAGTTTATGATGTTCATGGCATTGTGGTTGATGGGCGCCAGCAGATTTCCAAGCTATTATTGCTTTTTCAAAACGATAGCTGTCCTCTTCTGAGCAAAAGAAATGACAAGAAGGATTCTGTCCACAAAACCAAAAAGATCCGTTGCTGGTAGTTGAAGTAGATTCTGATTTTCCGTGTAGACACTCCATCATCGTAAGAACAGTTACTAATAAAAATCTCTGCATGCACACGGCTTTTATAAGTACATAATGTCTAAGCTTCCGGTGACGTCACATGTTTCCGCCCGAACTCGTTCAAAATTATACAATACACGCAATTACTTTTTTCTCCAGTAAGACAGATAGTTCAAGACACACTCTAGTTCAGGATTTGCCGTACCTGAATGCAAATCCCTCAATGATTGAACAAACATAGAATCTGGCGTTTTTTTCCAGTTACCGCAAATGATCAAGGACATCTTTGTGACATCTGAGTTTCAGCACTCTTGCTGCTTCAACAAATTCATCCCAGATCATACGTTTATTATTCACACGTTCAATGGCATCAAAACCATACATTTCCCATCTTTCATCTGCATCTATCATGAGGCAATCATGCTGTCGTTGGCTCGGATGATCTATTTTACAACCACAACAATACTCCTCACAGAGTTGGTTGATTTCACTTGCCACGGCATCAGCAAATATAGCTTCGAGTAAACTGAATTGCTTTTGATATTCCGTCTTTGAGACTTCATCAACATGTGCATTATTTCCCCAACCGTTAGCGGTTTGTGCTGCTACGTTGCGTTTAAAACTCTTTTTTTTTTCCTGTTCACAAAATTGTGAGATTACTACAGTATATGAGAATGTTCACAGAAAAACGAAATTGCTATTGCCTATTTATAATAATACTGCTATCGACATCATCATGTCGTTATTTAAATGATAACAGTATCATCGTATTGTTATTTTAATAAAATCACCGTGTTATTATTTCAATGATAACGGTATTCTGTTTCTTTGATAACAATGACCACGAGACGCTATTTGATGCTTTATTGAATTCGGTTTAATGATACCGATACCAGCATGTAATTATTTAAACGATAACGGTAGCATATTGTTATTTTAATAAAGAATCGATATCCCTGATTAACATTCAAGGTATCGTGATCGCTAATTGATGTTAATTGATCCCGTTACCTGTCACATGTGGCCCAGGCTTGTCCAGCAAAGTGACGCCATTGATTTTGCAAGCTCATTATAAATTCCGCCAAGTGTTAGCTGTACAAAGTGACTGGCGTAGATTTTGCAAGCTCATTATAAATTCCGCCACATAGATTTTGCAAGCTCATCATAAATTCCGCCAGTATTAGCTGAACAAAGTGACGTTATAGATTTTGCAAGCTCATTATAAATTCCGCCATATAGATTTTGCAAGCTCATTATAAATTCCGGCAGAGTGTTAGCTGAACAAAGTGACGTCATAGATTTTGCAAGCTCATTATAAATTCCGCCATATGGGGGGTATTACTACTCAAGTGCTTGATAATAACGCTCGGCTCTTGTATACAGATACTTGTATAGCTCACTTCGAAAAAGATATACATATAAAACAGGTGTACTTCTACGGCGAAATAAACTGCTGCAACAAAGTTTTTATTTCTACTTTCGCGTTCTTATTCCAAAGCAAACACTTCTAAGTTGGAAATGCCTAAAATTGTGAGCGTAGAAGCACTATACAAACAAGAATACGACTTCATAACACGAGTAGTTTTGGCAAATTTGGTGTATGTTATTTCCATCCAGTCACGCGATTAACCCGTGCTCACATGCACTCCATGCTTACGTTTCTCGCGCATGCGTAGACGGAAGTCCACCCTGTTCTTGGCAACACCATAACTGTTTTTTTAACTTTTTCTACAAACCTGCAAACAATAGATGAAATACAGAAATGACAATTTATAAAATACATAAAATTGGTATATTATTTTCCTTTCTATGGGCTTTACTCTGGGCTTTATTTTAATGTAAAATTCGAAACGAAACTTTATGTAAAACTTTTTCCCGAGCCAACGGCGCCGAGCGCCGTTCTGGGCGTTAGCCCGGGGCGAGGGTGTACTAATTCCACCTGGCTATTTACAGCCGGGGAAAGGGAAGCATTAGCGAAGTCTAAAGTTCATTAATGATTGCGGGCGTGGGTGACCAACTGTGGGTGGTCATCCTCACTGATCTCAAAAATATGGCTGTTTGCCAGGAGTGGAATAAGAAAGATTTCAATTTTCAAAATCATATTTAACAAATATACCATGAGCTCGAGTCGTATATGAGCTGATAGCCGACGAAGTGCGTAGCAACGAAGCTGAGTTGTTTAAACAGGCACATAAAGAAAAGGGAATTTTTTACTTGATTTTTATGTAAAATAATAACGCTTTAACGAAATGAGCGTTTAAATGGCTTCCTTTGGCGACATTTCGCTTCCGCTTTGTTGACAACTACTCGGTGTTGCGAACTCCCAAGAATGAATTTCAAAATACAACTTGTGAGTTTTAAAAAAGTTAAAAAACACGACGTAAAACAGTATAATAGTAAGAGACCGTTATAGAAGCAGAGTTTGGTTAATTAAAACTTATTTAAAAGAAGGGAACAAGGCTTAAAAAGTCCAAAATTTCGGACATAAAATAGCTTCCCGAATTGTTGCTAAATAAAGTTTACGTTAAAAGGCCGAATAAAAATACACACACATGCAAAAGAATCCGAATGTTGTTGAAATCTTTAAAATATCTGGAACATAAAGTGGCAAACAATTTGCATCATCTAGTGTACATAGACAATAGTTTAGATCAAAATTTAATCGAAAAACTCGACTTAAAAAGGCTCGAAAAGGCGAAAAACAAACTCGGCCACAATCTCGACATTTAAATGAAAAAACTCTTTAAAATGACTGCTAAATACATGAATTCGTACTTAAAACAATTAAGCACACACTAAAGAGGTTGAGAAAATAGGGGTAAATGGCTACAATGTATTGTTGAAGTTCAACGATTCTGGTTGGAATATTAACAAACATTGTGCATATATTTAAAAAAATCGCCTGTCACTTTCATGTTCAAAACTACGAGCAAATTTGAGAAAACTTAAAAATTTTACCGCATGTGTCAGCAGTTTCCAAGAGTCTTTGTTTGTGTGTAATCCAGAACCAAAATTAGGCCATTTTGATAAGCTTTTTCCCTTTAAATGCAGCTTTTAATGCTTAAAAATGGCCATTGACTCTCGCGACCTTCGCCGCTTCTTGCTACTAGTAGGCTATCACCTATAGCCTACTAGTAGCGTAGCCAATCAGAACGCACGATACATGATAGCCTACTAGTAAGTTTATACTAATAGCCATTAACAGAAGCAATAATTAATTATCCTCTGTTACAATGTTTTGATAATTTGTTCGGCCAAAAACCGCTTGGCCTTGAAAACTTGAAATACCGTTTTGTTTTACAACTCAAAGACGAAGTGAAAGAAATGGTTTTAGAACCAGTATACAGTATCTCACAGAAAAGCGCAGATATATCTATTATACAGATGTTTGGTAGTATACTAAGTGCTTGTTGACTGCAAATTTATTTGTCTTTCGTTGCAAACTTTTCTGAAAAATTTTTCTGTGCTGGTGTTGTGTACTCAGGTGAATAATATGTTTGCGATGTTACTCTGAGTGCATATGCACACCGGGCGAGCTTGAAAAATATGCCCGGCCACGGTGGGATTCGAACCTACGACCTTTGGAATACTAGCCCAATGCTCTTCGAACTGAGCTACGCGGTGAGGACGGTTCGAGTAAGTGATATTTCGGAACAGTATCTAGTTCCTTCAATACCAATATGTTCTAGTGATATGAATTTTTTTTCCTGTGTTGGTGTTGTGTACTCAGGTGAATAATATGTTTGCGATGTTACTCTGAGTGCATATCCACACCGGGCGAGCTTGAAAATATGCCCGGCCACGGTGGGATTCGAACCTACGACCTTTGGAATACTAGCCCAATGCTCTTCCAACTGAGCTACGCGGTCAAGACGGTTCGAGTAAGGGATATTTCGGAACAGAATCTAGTTCCTTCGATACCAATGTATTCTAGTAATATGAATTTTTTCTGTGTTGGTGTAGTGTACTCAGGTGAATATGATATTTGTGGTGTTACTCTGAGTGTATATCCACACCGGGCGAGCTTGAAAAATATGCCCGGCCACGGTAGGATTCGAACCTACGACCTTTGGAATACTAGCCCAATGCTCTTCCAACTTAGCTACGCGGTCAGCACGGTTCGAGTAAGTGATATTTCGGAACAGTATCTAGTTCCTTCAATACCAATGTGTTCTAGAAATATGAATTTTTTTCTGTGTTGGTGTTGTGTACTCAGGTGAATAATATGTTTGCGATGTTACTCTGAGTGCATATCCACACCGGGCGAGCTTGAAAAATATGCCCGGCCGCGGTGGGATTCGAACCTACGACCTTTGGAATACCAGCCCAATGCTCTTCCAACCGAGCTACGCGGTCAGGACGGTTCGAGTAAGTGATATTTCGGAACAGTATCTAGTTCCTTCAATACCAATATGTTCTAGTAATATGAATTTTTTTTTTCTCTGTGTTGGTGTTCTGTACTCAGGTGAATAATATGTTTGCGATGTTACTCTGAGTGCATATCCACACCGGGCAAGCTTGAAAAATATGCCCGGCCACGGTGGGATTGGAACCTACGACCTTGGGAATACTAGCCCAATGCTCTTCCAACTGAGCTACGCGGTGAGGACGGTTCGAGTAAGTGATATTTCGGAACAGTATCTAGTTTCTTCAATACCAATATGTTCTAGTAATATGAATTTTTTTTTCTCGGTGTTGGTGTTGTGTACTCAGGTGAATAATATGTTTGCGATGTTACTCTGAGTGCATATCCACACCGGGCGAGCTTGAAAAATATGCCCGGCCACGGTGGGATTCGAACCTACGACCTTTGGAATACTAGCCCAATGCTCTTCCAACTGAGCTACGCGGTCAGGACGGTTCAAGTAAGTGATATTTCGGAACAGTATCTAGTTCCTTCAATACCAATATGTTCTAGTAATATGAATTTTTTTTTCTCGGTGTTGGTGTTCTGTACTCAGGTGAATAATATGTTTGCCATGTTACTCTGAGTGCATATCCACACCGGGCGAGCT